CAAAAATTTGTGTCGGATTGTTGACGCAACTTTTGCGTATAAGTTACTAGCATATCACCTGTGCTATGCACGGATTGTGTTTACAATTATCTATATATATGAATTGTGATTTTTAAATATTTTTTTTTAAATATCTTCTTTTTTTTTTCTTTTTTATATTATTTTAAAGTTTAATATTTTGATAATAATCATATGTGTTGGACTTTTTAAGAAATTTTTTTTATACTTGTTCTTAATGCATTAAAGTATTATTATGAGGGATAATAATTATATATGTTGGGACTTTTCAAGGAATTCATATGTATTGGATTTCAAAGAATTTTTTTTATGCTTGTTCTTAATGCATTAAAGTGTTATTATGAGAGTTAATAATTAAAAAAAAAAAAAAAAGACAGAGCAGGAGCAAAAGAGAAGAAGAAAGAAGGAAGGATTGAGAAGGGGAAAGAGAACGGGTAGAGTAGAAGGAGAGGAGGAGGATCGAAGGCTTTTTTCCCTTTAACAATGGAGTTCGCAGATTTACCCAAACCCGGTACCAATTTCCGACCCCACTACCCTCTCATCGCGAACCCTCGACGTTGCCTCGCCTTCGCTGCCTGAGGGAGAGGTTTTAGTGTGTGGTGGTTGCGGGCGAGGGTTTCATGTGAAGTATTTGATAACAAAGACATCTTCAGGTTTGTTCCATTTTCTCTTTCTCTCTCTCTCTCTCTCTCTCTGAAATTTTCGTTCAGAGTGTTTGGATATGAAGAAAACCAAGACAAATGAAATGAAAAATTTGTAGTTAATGTTTTTTATTTTGGTCTCTGAATTCTGTTCACTCTTCTTCTTCTTCCTCCTCCTCCTCCTCTATTCCTCATTCTCTTCTCTTTCTCTGCCTTTCTTCTTTTCCCTTCTTTCTTCTTCTCCTTTGTTAGATATTTCAACCATTCTCTTCTCCCAACTCCTTCCTCTTCATTTGCAGCAAATAGCCACCTTCTACCACACACATCCACCACTGACCACTGCTCCGACCACTCGTACCAAACAATACAACCGCAACCATCAAAAACAAAAACAAAATCACAATCAAAATTAACCAACAAAAGCAAAATTAAAATCAATATCAAAACTCCACAAAAATAAAAAAATAAAATAAAAAATGTATATCAAATCCAATTCAAAACTCACCAATCAAAATCCAAATCATAATTCAAATTCATTACTGAACATTGCTAAGAAATTGGAATTGATAAGCCAAAAGAAAAACCAGAATTGAAGAAATGTAAACAATAAAAAAAACAGAGTAGAAAGATCTTTGTTTCTTTTCCTTTCATTCCAAGCAAAGCAAATGGCTTCTAACCTTTCTCTCAGCAAAAATTCACAGTTACAAATCAATTATAAACCCATCATCACCAAACCCACCACCTCTTACAACACCCACCCAAAATTTTTTTTTTTTTTTGATTCTTTTTAGTTTCAAAATAACAATCAATTTCAACAATCAAGATAAATACCCGAGTCAAACTTGCAAAGGAGTTTACATTAGTTGCAGATTCATCAGAACCCTTCCCTCCCCTCATCGCGTCCGACCCCTCCTTTTCCCCCATCGCAAAACCTCCCATTGTCTCTCGCGTCCCTTCCCATCCGTCACAACCCTTTAAAACCCGCTCCTCCCTCCGTTGTATCTCCCCTTTCCCTACACACCATCTTCCTCCTCCCCTAGTACCGCCTCACCACTGAGTCCAGATCCTCAGCCGCCCTCTCCAGGTTAAAAGGAAAAAAAGCTTCGATCCTCCTCCTCTTCTCTCCTTCTACCCCTTCTTTTTCCCCTTCTCGATCCTCCATTCTTTTTCTTCTCCTTTGCTCCTACTCTGTCTTTTTTTTTTTTTTTAATTGAAATTTGGCCCCAAAACGATGTTGTTTTGGGGAGCCGTAGGAAGGCCCGCTGGAGAGGGCGGCTAAGGATCCTAACTCATTCATATATGTTGGATTTCAAAGAATTTTTTTTATACTTGTTCTTAATGTATTAAAGTGTTATTATGAGGGTAAGACTTGGGAGTTGGGAGAAGTTAATAAATGTTAAGATTTTTTAAAAAATTAAGAAATTTAGATTGAGAGATTGGAACTCTCACAAGGCTTGGGGTTAAAAATTCCATTTTACTTAATATATAGTATAAATAAGGTTACGTGTACACTCTTAATTAAGCGGTTAAGAAGGCAATCTTTACAAAAATTGATTTACATTCTTTTATTAATTAATTTTTTAATTGAGGTCTTTATCGTATTGATGTTGTTTGGTTTTCCAATATGTATTTTATTTATCAGAAAATAGAAAATTTTATTAACTCAAGATAATAAGAATTATGAAAAAGAATAGGTGGCACGTCTCATTTACATCCACATTAAATCTGTTGGGGGTGATTTGATAAATTAGTTAAAAATTGATTTTCTGATTTTTTTTTATTCTTTTGTATATAAAAAATGTAAAAATGATGTTACTTAAAATAGATTAAAAAATAAAAAATAACTTTTTACTAACTTCTCAAACTGTCACATAGTTAATTATCAAATTTTATATAATTCTTATTATAGTTATAAATAATTTTTATCAATTAAAAAAAAAAATTAGCTGACAGCACCAGCACTCAATTATTATATTTTTTTTCATGCCAAGAGGATAATTCCATAAAGCTACGGCATAAGGATAAGGTCCAAAATCAAAAATTGGGAAAAAATATATATATATATATAAGAAAAATAGCATCTATCTCATTAATTAAAAAAAGTAGATAGAAATTGTAAATTGACTTCACAGAAATTTCGGAAAAGATATTTCTTTGAAAAAACGAAAAGCCTAGGCGTGTTGTGCATTGTTTGGTTCATTTTGAAATGAGATTAGAATATAATACTTAGGCTTCGTTTAAAAATAAATTTTTTTAGTAACTTTTAAATTTTTTGATTAAAATATAATATAAAAAATTAATATATTTGAAATGAATTTTTACTTTTTATAAAAAGATATATAAAAAGTAAAGAGAAAATAAAATCTTTGACTTTTTTGTATAAATTATTAGTTTTTTGATTTTTTTAGTAATTTTTTAGCTAAAATCACTATTTGCAAAACGAGGCCGGCCTCGTTTGGGAACATGCTTTTTTTAGTAACATTTTCATTTTTTAGCTAAACTTTGATATAAAAAAAAATTAGTATGTTTGTAATGACTTTTTGATTTTTTACGAAAAGATATACAAAAAGTATAGAGAAAAGATAATTTTTGACATTTTGATATAATTTGTTGACTTTTTTTATTTTTTTTAGTGACTTTTTAATTTTTAGACTAAAAAGTGATACTCCCAAATAAGACCTTATAGTCTCCAAAGTATGAGTTATTATTTTATTCCCCACTTTAAATTATGTCAATTTAGTCATTATTATATAAAAGTGTTTTCATTTGATCTCGAATATTTGTGTCAATTTAGCTCTAAATATATATATAAAAAAAATGTTTCAATTTGGTCCTCCAATTGTGTCTTAACAAAGCTAGATTTGGGGATCAAATTAAAACATTTTTTGTATATTAAGGAAGTTTGGCTAAACTAAAAAAGTGCACTTATTTCATTTTTTTATCTTTTTTGGGTCACATCAATCAATATCTCCTCTCTACTTTTTCTACACATAATACAAGAAAAATCAAAAAGTGCACTTATTTAGTCTTCCCAAACTTGGCCTAGTTCCTCAATTGTGTCTTAATGAAATTAGATTGAGGGGATTAAATTGAAATATTTTTCATACATTGGGGAATAAAAATGTAATTAATCCTAATACTTATTGTTGAAATATCTATTTTCATATTTAATTTTTTTTAAATAAATAAAAAAAAAGAAAAAAAATTACATTCAATATGAAATCTCGATTCACGAGTATAAGCTTTGTTTGTACCAAAAAAATGAGTAGCTTGAATGAGAGAAATAAAAAGTAACAAAAAATAAATTTAAATTTTTGCCAGATGTTCATACCATTTTATTGATCTTCACAATTCCATATTTGACTTTAGGATCCAAATACAATTTCAAAATATGATTTAGCCTCCGTTTGGGAAGTGGGTTGACTTTTTGGCTTTTTAGCTTTTTTAGCTATTTTAGCCTGGGCTAAAAAGTTTGGTTTGGGAAGGGCTTTTTGGCTTTTTGGCTTTTTTGGCTTTTTTGTGAGAGAAGAATGTAATGATTATGGGTTGGATGTGATATTTTATTTTTTGTGGTTAAAATAGCCTATTTTGTCTTTTGTGGCTAAAATAGCCAAAAAAGCCCCGTTTAGCTCTTGCCAAACTTAGCCTTAGAGAAGTAAAAAAGTAACAAAAATTAGATTTAGAGTTTTGTTAGGTGTTCATACAATTATCTTCACAATTCCCTATTTTATTTCCCATCTAAAAAAAATTTAAAAAATTAGGATCCAAACACAATTTTCAAAATATGATTTTGTTGACTACATATTTTGTAAAAGCTAATCGCAGCTTGACACGTGGTACATGAAAGACAATTTAAAAAGTTAATACAAGTCTCTAATCAAAGACAGATACGTGGCAGATCATATTGATTGTAATGGATCTGCGCAGCATTAGAATAGCTAAAAGATGCAAGATGACGTGTCCCAACGGTTACCCACGAATTCAATTCAAATCCAAGAGGGAAGCACTTATATAGTTCATCCCAAATAATGCACTTATATAGTTCATCCTAAATAATTTCTAAGTGTGATACGCCAAACGGGCACTAATATAAATGGGGTAAAGTGCAATTTATTCTTTGATTTATATATGATGTTACAATTAAATTAAATAAATTATAATTATATTGATGAGAATTAAATACAATAATATATAATAAATATATAAAAAAAAAATCAAATTGAAAGAGAAAAACTCCCATAAATACACGAAAAATAAAATCCAATCGAACTATTCCGTTGGCTTCCTCGAATATACCTTATTTGTATTTATTTTGTGTTTTTTTTTCCCCGTCGGTAGATTATCTTACGGTATTAAAAAAAGGCAGAAGAAGAACTTCCCTCTATTCCATACAAAACAAGCCAAAAGTCTCTCTGTGCTCGCTGCTCTCTGCTCTCATTTGGGTATACAAAAAATTGAAGCGATGGATTTGTCTTGCATCCTTGTTAGTACATGTTTATTCTGTTCAATGTTTCCGATCTCGTTGGCTGCTAAACCTGATAATCATGCTAATGACCTAACCATCCAACAGATCCATGATGAATGTTTACCAGAATCAGGAGACTCGTCGTCTTCTCTAGGTCTATTCCCACCAAACCCAAATGGCCAATCTTTGGATACTCCCTCAGCCGCCTCACCTTTTTTGCTAAATGCCGAACTTTCTGCAGAACAACCACCAATCACCGCCGCGGAGCAGAACCAGTGTCTGGTAAGAGACCTTCCACAGCCCCCTATTGCCACTAACTCATTGTCATATTTAGTCAGAATTCGATTTTGTTCACACAATTTAAAGTATATATTTAATAAATCATAAATTTTTATTGGGTCAAAACGGTAGAGCTCACGATTTTAGATGGGTCAATACCCGTTTTCGATATAAGTTTTTGCATGCTTGAGTCAGATTAATCCAATTTCAGAATAAATTAAGGATCAGTTCCACAAAAATTGAAATTATGATCGAACCGTTGAGAGTATATAATTGGGTGAAAATCGAAATATAGAAATCGATTTGCTACAGTTCAATTATTGAGGTTTTATATAATGGGATTTGATTATTATGCTTATTTTCTGCTACATAGTGTTATGGGTCCTGGGAAACCGACCAATATGTGGGGTTTTTGTTGAAGAAGACTCTGCATACTGTTCAGGTGGTTAACTCTTTGAAAATTATGTTGGGTCTTGCTTGAGTCGCTTGATTCAAGAATCATCATTGAGTCTTGATCTAATGTGAGCCTTGATTTTTATAACTATAGTGGTGTTGGAGGAAAAGGGAAAGAAAAATGATGGAGAGGAATTTTATGCAGCGTTTGGTAAAATTGTGATTTCAATCCAAACTCTTTCAAAATTTATAATAAAATTATTTTTAAAACTCATAATGAAATACACAATTTAAATTTTTTTTAAACTTAAACTTAAAATTAAATTCTTTTCAAAATTCTATTTTTAAAAAAAATTCAAAAAAATATTTTTTATTTTATTTTTTAAAATTATTTTTAGAATCATTATTTGAGAGTGGAGTCGTGTTTCTAGTTATGAGTTTTGAATTGAATTTTGAAAAGAAAAAATTTGTTTAATTATGATTTTTGAAAAAAATTTTGAATTGTATTTTAAATTTTGATTTATATTTTGAAATTTTTCTGAGTCTATTTTTTTTAAAAATATTTGTATTCCATCCTAACTTCTCCCAAAAAGGGTGGTCGTGTACGAGAAACTTGATATGTGTGGCTTTGATGTGATGGATGATTAGTACGGGATGATTCTAATAACCAAGTTGGAATTTGTTTCCAAAAATAAAATAAAATAATCAAGTTGGAATTTACTTCAAGTTGTAACGTGTTGCAGGATGTTTTCTTGGTTATATAACGTAAAACCGGAGTGGATAGAAAGTAAACGTCAACGTCAATAATGTTGAAATTAAAATTTTAGTCTTCAATTTGTTGTTGAATTAAAAAGTTTTGGAGTTATTATTCTAATTTTTCCTATAATTTATAATAGAAAACATATTAATAATAAACAACATTGCTAAATTGATTCAACCTATGTCAATTCTATCAATAAAACTATTCTCCCAAATTTGTCCAGAAATAAAATGTATGGTTTTGGGAGTTGATTTTTTTAATTTTTTGATATTTTTAGAAGTTAAAAAATTATTGTGTTTAAAAAGTTATTAAAAGAATTACTTTTTGTGTCGCTTTAGCTTTTTTAACTGATAACAAACAACTTAATAACTTTTATTTTTTTTTAAAACAAAAATTGACATTTTAAATTGTTCCCAAACAGCCTCTCGAGTCTCAATTGGTGTTTGGACAACACATATGATAAAAATTCTGAGTATACTGCAATTCCATACACAAAATTGATATTTGAATCTTGGTAGCCTCCTCTGCAAATTTTGTTTTTACAAACCGAAATACTTAAAGAATAATAAACAAATATATCATTGTTAAGTTTGATTCAACTATTTTTGAAATCGAAATCATATATGAGTTAGTGATTTGGACAAGATTGGCTTGCATACCAGTTACATTGATTTTATATTAAAACCTCTATTTGTGATTTGTCATGGTGATTTGGTTTCTAATACACACATGATCATATCCTTCATGACAGCAATCTGGGACTAGTGATATTGAAGATGGTGAAGAGCTGCTGCCAAGAGGCCAGCAGGACAACATAGGGAGGATGGAGACAAGAACTCAAGCATTGGATCTGGGATGGACTTTCCTTAGACTCACTTTCCAAGCATTACTGTTAATGGTGATTTGCCACTTCCAGGCTCCATCAACATCAGCATCACCATCAACATCAACATCGCCATTGTCTTCTTCTTCAATGAGGTTTCATGTTATTGGGGCTGCTATGCTGATTGGTTTCGCTTTCACCATGATTGGGATGTCGTTGCACAACGCATACCCAACCGCTGCAAGCATTGGTGAGCACACTGGCATGTTTTCTGCTGCCTTTGGGTTCTTGGTGATGACTGGAACCTTCCTCCCTGATAGATTGAATTGGTCTGTGTTGCCTGTTGCTGGTGTTGTCCTCTTTCTTGGGTTTGTCTTTGTCCTTGCAAACATCAGGCAAAGATGATATTATATATACTTTGGTTAATGCCTCAGACCCCCACTGGCAATGACCCCCAGGGCCCCACTGGGGTGTGATTGTGTGTGTGTGTGTTGGGGGGTGTCTGTTTTGGTGGTTTTAGGGCTGTTGTACTCGCTGTAATAAAATTTGTGACTCTAAAGCAGTTGAGCGAAAAAAAGTTTAGTGGGTGAAAAAAACTGAAGCAAATGGAAGGTAATTTTGGTGGTTTTAGGGCTGTTGTACTCGCTGTAATAAAATTTGTGACTCTAAAGCAGTTGAGCGAAAAAAAGTTTAGTGGGCGAAAAAAACTGAAGCAGATGAAAGGTAAATTTGACATTAAAAATTAGATAAATAAATGACATTACCTAGCTGGCTTCATTTTTTAGTACCCATCCATGTGAGAAATGGGGGTGTTCCTTTTGTATGCTTCATTTTTTAGTTTATACAAAATGGGTACTGCTTCCTTATGCTACTTTATACTAGGATTATAACTCGAGCATGTTGAGTGGTTGTTTAAGTCTAACTCGTGTTGTGCTTAGAGCTGTCTAGATCTATTCAATTTTGAATTATAATTCAAAATTGTGTACTTAGTCCAATTCTAGTTAGGTTCAAATTGCTTGTGTTGGGGGGGTGGGTTTGCAACCAAATTAATTTATTTATTAAAATTAGACTTTAGTTACATTTTTAAATAAAATCATTAATAATATCATAATAAATAATTTATATAATGTAAAAGAGATAAGAATGGAAGAATCAATGTGCCACTACGGTTGTATAGAATTTAAATTACTTTAACCAAAATGCTTGGGACCCTAGTGGGGAGACCTCCATGATGCCTAGTGGGCAGTCATTGGCTAATTTTTTTTTTTTTTTTTTTTCAATCACTAACCCCCAGGTGTGTGTGGGGGTAGTGGGGGTGAGGGATAGTGGGGGTCTATATCATGGTTCAAATAAAAGTATATTCTTGGGACCCCCACTGGGGGTGACCTCCACTGGGGGAGACCCTCAACACCCCCAGTGGGCGGTCTTTGGCCAAAAATGTTTTGTCATAATCCAAACCCATTCAAATTTAATTTGGATTTTTAAATTTTTATCAAAATGTGTATTAAATATAAAAATATTTTATCAAATTCCAAAAAAAAAATTGACTGAATTTGAATTGCTCAAATTAAGTTTGCCCAAATTGCACCCTTCACTTGTATGAACCTTATTTTCTGGACCATAAGATATTAAAAAAAGGTTAAATATTGTAATAGAAAAAAGGGCCAATTGGTTTCTTCTGCATTTCTCACTTCTCTCCTATTTGAGTCACATTATTTTCAAAAAAAATAGATAATAATTATAATTTTTAAAACAACTATCTATTTTTATGATATGAGTATAATTCAAACATAAATATCTAATCATCTTAATTTTTTACATAATCATAGTCGGTGGTTACCTCTGGTAGGTTTGGTCTTTGGCCGTTGCTGGGGGCAAGCTGTCGTGAACCGACTGAGACGCCCCTGGTGTATCAAGCTCTCGACCTGGTCTTTAAGGTTAACACACTCCTCGGTATTGTGGTCGTGGTCCTGATGGAAACGGCAGTATTTGGACTAGTCTCGTCGTTTGGAAGGAGACCGCGATAGTTGTGGGCATTTCAGGGGATAATCTCGTTGGATTTGATTCAAAACTTGTTCCATGGGGGAATTGAGGGGAGTGTACCATTCGAACCGGCCGGATGATCGAGTAGGTACCGACCGGTCGGCTCGAACAGGTCGATCGGTATACTAAGGTGTTTGTTGTGTGTACTGGGTGGTTCTGGTTTCAGATTCCTTTCTCTTCTCTCTGAGGGTTGGGTTTTTGGTTGTGGAATCTTGTCGAAAGGCTAGAGAATCTTCGGCATTCATATATTTTTGAGCTTTGGAGAAGAGGGTTGTCATGGAGGTTGGAGGCTTTTTGAAGAGGGAGAAAAGGAAGTCGGATGATTGTAGACTAGTTATGAAAACTGTGAGAATGACCTTGTCATCATTTTTCGCCACCTGCAAGGCCTCGGTGTTGAAACGAGTGACAAAGCTACACAGCGATTCCTCCTTCGTCTGACGGATGTTAAAGAGTTGAGTCGCCGGGTGACGTTGGTGCTGGGCACCAATGAAATGGCTAAGAAATGAATCACTTAGGTGTTGGAAAGTAGAGACGGAGTCCATCGACAGCTGACTGAACCAGAGTCGAGCCGACCCCTTGAGCGTTACGGGGAAAGCTCGACACATGATCTCATCAAGAAAATCATGGAGGATCATTAAGGTCCTGTAAGTCTCTAAGTGGTCGACCGGGTCCGTTGTACCATCGAAAGAGTCGATCGAGGGCATTTTGAACTTTGGAAGTAGTGGTTTGTCTCTGATGGAGGCGACGAACGGTGAGTTGGCTGTTGTGGAGGGTTTATTTTGTATGTTCTGCATGACTCCTTGAAGCAGGAGTTTCATGGCTCGGAGCTCCGCATCCCAGACAGGGACATTGTCACCCTCAGAATGGAATAGAGGTTGGACACTACTGGCCTCTCCCTTAGGAGTAGGTGCTTGGACCGGCAGACGTAGACCCCGAGGTGGTGGATACATATCTTGCGGTAGGGGTCGCAAACCCTCGAAGTTGGAGGGGTGGGCTTGTTGGGAGGGATGGCTCCAAGTTCGTTCTCAGTTTGGTCGGATATCTTATGGTGGTGGAGAAGGCACAGGGAGGTCTCATTGAAGCAAAGCGTTGATCAGGGCTTGGTTTTGTTCGGCTAAGCGGTTGATGTTGTTGGTGAGTTCTGTGAAATACTACGGGGTTGTTTGGGTTAGGAGGGTCGGCTTGGGGGTCAGCAACGTTGTGTTGAGAAGCCATGGATCTTGTTGTGACCATCCACCCGGTGGGTGGCAAGGAGGAATTATCGGGAGTAGGTCTCCGGCAACAATGAGCATGATTGTCACACGGAGTAAAAGCTTCCCACAGACGGTGCCAACTGATGATGCTTCTTACTCCTGATGGAACAGGTCGGGTTGATCCACGCCTCCCAAACTGTTGTCCGATTGCTGGGCCCACGGAGAAACCTGCACAACAGTTCAACAGGGAACGGGAGTCCCCCAGCGAATCCTCCGACGAGCAAGTTAGAGAAGAGAGTGATGGAATGTAGAGATAGGATGGTGATAAAGAACTTAACCTTCTTTTTGTCTTAGAAGCCTGCTTATATCCTTTGCTCATCATTTTCTTGTCCACTCCGACCTGTCATGTTGTCCGAAAGCCTACATTTTAGCTTGCCTTGTTCATGGTGAAGCCGTTTTGCCTCGACGTAAAGGGTTTACCGCATTGAATGCCGCAGAGGAACTCATTAATGGCTGATGCATGGTGCAACAACTCTGCAGGATTTTTATCTACTTACATGGCTGGTTCTTATAGCGAACCCGGTCTTTTCCCATTTGATTATTGTATCCGGACTTAGGTTCCGTAGATTCTGTCATTGTATGATTGTTGTTGTTGTCCCTTATTTGCAATTATAGCGACCTCGGTCTTCTACCATTTGATTATTGTATCCGGACTTAGGTTCCGTAGATTCTATCATTGTATAATTGTTGTTGTTGTCCCTTATTTTCTCATTTGGACTTATAGGATGTGTTGGGCAGGTTTGTTTCAGGTTGGTTGGGTTTAGAAACCAAGTGTTGCTGTCCAGAATTTTGGATCTTCGCTCGAGCGAGGAGTTTGTCGCTCGAGCGAGATGTTATTTTTGGTTCTTCGCTCGAGCCGGGGTTTGGTAGCTCGAGCGAGAGGTTGCGTCTGATTTAGACCTGTAGCTGTGCATTCTTGGCTCGAGCGAGCTTTTCTTCGCTCGAGCGAGTTAATTCGTTCTTCGCTCGAGCGATAGTTCTTTCGCTCGAGCGTGTGTCTGGTTACAGACCTGAGGGTTTGAGTTCTTCGCTCGATCGAGTTTTCTTTCGCTCGAGCGAGCTTTTGGGTTGTTGGCTCGAGCAAGGCTTCCTTGGCTCGAGCGTAGTTTTTCTGTGTCTGGTCGCTCGAGCGACCAAGTCTTCGCTCGAGCGAGCCTGTCCAGTATATATTTGCAGCAGCGGGATTTGATCAGTCTTTTTCTTATTCTTTTTGGTTCTAAACCCTAGGTTCGACTTCTCTCTCTCCCTACTCACCTTCTCTCTTAGATTTGATCCACTTAGGGTGTGTTTCTACCCTAGATCCTTCATTAAAAAGCTAGAGTGGGTCGAGGGCTTCCATTTAATCTGAATTGTTGGTAGTTTGGAGCACTTTGGAGTTTGGGCATTCATCTCCATCTTCTCTTTTGAGGTTATTTCTTCGAGGTAGGGATTTCCTACTCCATTTTATAGGTTTTGTTCTAAGTTTTGGTATATTGATATGTTGGGGTTATTTTGATAATTTTGGGAAAAACCCTAGTTGAATTAATAAATTAAGTTATATATTTAATTCATGGAAATGGGTAATTTATTGATTAAATGGCGTAGTTGATTAATTTAAATCACTCGTCTATTGAATTGTTGGTATATTTATTTCCAAGTCTAGAAATAACTGTTTTGGGCTATCGGTGGAGGATAGTCGTGCTTGTTGTAGACTCTGCATGTGGATTAGGGATAACTGAAACTAATCATTGATTAAGTCATCAATCTTGACTGTTGAATTAATACAGACATTATGTGTATTGATTGTGTGTTGTGTATGTTATGTGTTTGCATACATTGTTTTGTGTGGGAGGAGATAGGGGATGTACTCCACGGTTTAGGGGAAGATAGGGGATGGACCTCTAAACCGGATTTTGTTTGGGAGAAGATAGGGGATGGACTCCATTAGCATCACTCTTATGTGTGCTTCAATCCAATTCATCATCACTGCCATCTTGTTCATCACAAAATTTCAGTCATGATGATGTTTTACCTAGTGAAAAATGTCAAAAAAATTAGCCAAAAGAACCTTGTTTCAAACTTTGGTCACCGACGCCGATCGTTGCCGATGAAGAAGAAACAAATGGTAACAATATTGTTGTTGGATTTGAGGATTTGATCTCAATGAAACTAAGCCACAAAGCCAAGCCACCAAGCAATTATTTGTGCCTAAAGCTGAGTGTCAAGCAGAAAAGGAGATCCGGTCAAATTGTTTTTGGTCTGAGGCCCCGTTTGGGAATATGCAATTTTAGTTGGCTTTTTGATTTTTTAGTTATTTTATCTTGGTTAAAAAAAGTTGTGCTTGGGATGATTGTTTTTTATTTTATTTTTTTATTTTAGTTGATTTGATGGTTGTGAAAGAAAAAGTTAAATAATTATGGTTGGGATGTGACATTTTATTTTATTAACTATTTTAAGCGTATTTTGTTTTTATTAATTATTTTAGCCTAAACCCAACTTCCTAAGCACCCCCTAAACGGCTCCTAAGTTGGATGATGTGACATGACTTTGAATTAATGTTGTGTTTGGTTAAGGGATTTGGAAAGGTATTTGGAAA